AATAATCATATCCTAGATTAATATAATGCTGGTTGTTACTGAAACGAGGGTTGAGCTATAAGCTCTTAATAAAGTTCAGTGTAAAACCGCAAGTACTTCTAAAAGTAACAAAGGTACTGGAAGAACTTTACCTAAATAAACTTCAAGGTGGTGCCGCCTTAATAGAGAGTTGGAGTTCTCTCTTAAAAGTTTATTGAAAAGGATAAGCGCAAGGCCATAAAAGCGCTAAGCGAGAAACGAGGAACTTGAGAACACGTGATATTCGTGTGTGTGTTCTTACCGGTATTGTCACATGAAATACTTGGTTCAAAGCTTCACACTACCTTGAATTTCGACTTTACTTTGTTTGAATTACACTATGGTTAGATTCAAATCGAAAGATATCTAATCCTTACGCATGAGTATCATATAATTTGAATATGAGAACTTGTTAATTTTGAACAAGTGGGGGATTGTTATGAAGTGGTATGATTGTTCAAAACCAACAATAAAAAAAAAAAGAAAAAAAAAAGTTAGGCCATGCGAAGAACAAGTGGGGGATTGTTATGAAGTGGTATGATTGTTCAAAACCAACAATAAAAAAAAAAAGAAAAAAAAAGCTAGGCCATGCGGTCGCATGGCCTAAAGCCATGCGACCGCATGGAACCCTACCGAGACCAAATGGTCTCGGTAGGATTGTACCATGCGACCGCATGGGTTTGTACCATGCGGTCGCATGGTACAGAAAAATCGACCGTTGGGTCGTTTTTTGTTGGTTTTTTGGTGGCTTTTCATCCATAAGGTGCACCACTTCGTGAAGCTATACTACTTGGCTATAAATAGGTGATCTTGGGTCATTGAAAAATGTTGAAAAAACACCTATTAAATTGATACTTCTTGAGATCAAATCCAAAAGGAAATAACCTCTCATATTCATCCTTTTCTTTGTGTTCTTATGTTTTAGAGATTCAAACAAGTGTTTAGTGTTTGAATCTTTATAAGGCTTGATTAATCCTTCAAACCTTTTGCTGGATCACCCTTTAAACACCAAAATAGTGGGAGCAGAATTCGTTTGAGGATAACAATCTAAGATTGTGTTTGAGCCTTCAATTTCTTCATATATATACTTTGCTATTTCTTCATCTCCTATACTTCTTTCGATTTTTTTTATTTTGTTTGTAATTCATTCTCATAATATCTTTGGTGGAGTAACATTATTTCCAACACGATCAACTCTGGCTTCTTGTTGCCGATTTGATTGCTCGGAAGGCTAATACGAAGTGACAGGTTTCTAGGTTTTATTTATTTTTAATCTTCTTTTGCTTCCTTTTTCGTTATTATTTGTTTACGAAAATTTCGTTGGGGGATTGGTAGGGTTGTTTGTATGTTCTGACCTTCTAGGTTCTAGGTTCGGTGGAAGCACCGATTTGTTTATTTTTGTTCCGTTTTTTTTTTTAGGAATCTAAATGATTAAGGTATTTCAAATGGAAAAACTTTTGATCATTGCTATGCTTGTGCTTACACCAATTTTTCTACGTTACAGTGCAGTTGAACTAAGGGTGTATTTGATTCCATGGAAAATCCTACTTGGAATGTTTGATTGCTATTTTTTTCATGGAAAATATTTTCCAACTTTTGAAAATATGCCTAATTTTCCTTGGGTAGAGGTGGTTTTTATTTTCCACAAAAGATGGAAAACATTTTCTTTTTTAGGTAATATTTTCCATGTCAATCAAACACACTCTAAGGGTCTATTTGATTGAGAGAATAGAATTTGGATAAAAGAAAACGAATCGCAGGAAATCGAATTGCCTACAACTTGTTTTAGTAGGAATTGTCAATTAATAGTGTTTGATTGATATAATTTTTACTTGAAAAATGTTGAAATAAAAGTGTCTTTTGATATTTTTTTGGCCTTATTTTTCATGAAAATTGTCAATTTAAGGGATATCTTCTTTTACGATTATTCCTAGAATTTGTTTCCATTGCAAAAAAATAAAATAAATAAATAAATTTCAAGAAAATAAAAAATCATCCATCTTTTCGTGTTCGTTTGGCTTTGTTTTACATGAAAATTGTCAATTTAAGGGATATTCTCTTTTACAATTGCTCAATCAATTTGTTTTCATTGCCCACCAAAAAAATAAATAAATAAATAAATAAAAAATAAAGGAAAAAAAAAGAGATGGAAAACAAAAAATCACCAAAGTGGGAAGAAAACCAATTCAAGGAAAACCAAGAAATGGTAACCCCGTGGGGTAAAGCAAGAATTCCAATTGCCAAGAAAATTTTTGCTATCAAACAAGCAAAAAGGGGAAGATGGAATTCCTTTTCTATTTTCCAAAAAAATAAATATATAAATAAATAATAAAAATAAAAATGGTGTATCAAACATAGCCTAAGAATAGAATGGTATCTTGATGTGAAAACTATCGAAATGATTAATGCTAGGATGATTAATGATTTTAATCTGTTCTCTAATAATTTGGCAAGACATTATTTTATTTTTCCATAAAAGAAAATGCTACTCATTTGTGTAATTTTCCTAATTTTCTAGGTATGTTAACAAGTCCGGTCATTTAGTTCAAGTATTGATTAATTTGATTTACGCTTACAAATTTTACGACTTCGTATAACGGTTGTTGACTGTTGACAATCAATAATCCAATCAATGGCCGTCGTAGTTGAACTTCAATCTTGGATCCGCCACTGCTCGACTATCATTCACAAGAATTCCATCCATCCACGTGGACTACTTCGATGCTCGTAGGATTTTCATCTATCCACATGGAATTATTATTATTATTTTTTTTTTTGTCCATGATAAATTGGTATGAGTAATGAATGTGTAAATTAAATATAGTTGACCAGGTCGTAATATAAAAGTAAAATTCAGTAATCCTCGATTCAATTGTTATTGCAGTGATTTTGGAGAAAAAGAACCATGCTAGACGAACTGCGCGGTCATACTCGAGGTTGACATAATACACACACGGGAGGGGGAAAATATTTTTTTACTCATGTAGGACTCACGTCTCGATTGTGAGTGTGCGGTCATCCATGGAGTCACCGCTGCGGATCGTTTAGCATTTTTGGGGGGTAAAAAAAGGAAGAAAGAAAGTCAACACAATCAAAATTAGAGCGTTAAATACACATTATATATTTGAGGACACGTGGTACCATAAATCATAGATGCCCCAGCATATGAAATTATGAATAAGAAAAAGCACCATCTCAATTTTGTGTAATTTCAAAACATGAAAATACGTAAAGATTCTGCAATTGTAGAGTCCGACAAGTTTTCAAAAGTAGCTCCATTTCTCGTATGTTACTACATATTCCAATATGTGTTTGCTGTTCTGACTTGCCACAATCATGATTCACGTTAAACAATGAGTTTATCATATCGCATCCTTTAAGGTTACGAAAATTTAATCAATGTAACCGTGAAAATTTCAAAATTCAATATCAATCATGCTACATGAACATCAAGATTGACATAAAATTTGACATAATGTCAAGTGCCATTCTATCATCGGAAACTTAAAACATAGACAGTTTTTTCATCTAATTTTCTATTGACACGTGCAATTATGTCAAATTATCTGTTAAATCCTTCTGACAATGTAGTTTTGTCCATTCAATATATATGTTACCTTTTAGGTTAGTGAGGGCCTTCTTTCAAGCAAAACGATATTTTCAAAACCATCATAACGACAATAACAACTAATACTTAAAACTATCCGACATAGATCAATCACTCGTAGTTTGGGAACCACCGACATGATGCCGGTGTCAATGTGTCGATGTCCGTCACTTATCCGACATCGATTGTGACAATACGTCGTCAAAGCGTGTCCGAGTTCCTTGTGTTGTGTCGGAGATGAAGAAGAAGACATTGACTGCCTTTGAATAAGAAGGAAGAAAAGAAGAAAGATATTGAAGAAGAAAGAAATTATGAAAAGTCGTGCTGACTGGAAAATGAAAATTTGTGATGTAAACCAATATACTTTTGACTGTTGGTCCAACAATATTAAGCCCCCATTTTTTTCAAATTTTATTGTTTAGAATAATATTTTTTGGAAAAATGTGTGATCGAAAAAGAATGAAAAGTTTTCGATTTATGTGTAATATTATTTTATGAAAGATTGTATAGTTGAAAATAAAGGAAAGGAAAAAAAAATGAAATAGAATAGGAGCCAAATAGGGGCTAAATGCACTTTGTAAAATTTTTTGTGTAGCATATATTTAATTTATTTTTTTTTCTTTTTCGAATTTATTCTTTAAAAAACAAAGCAAAGTGTAAAATTTTATGTGAATAATTTTTTATTTTCCCATTTTACCTTCCATTAAAAAATCAAACTTAGTTATATATGATACAATAAATATAAAAAATTATTACTTTAGACTATCATATTAAAATAAGTTTTAAAATAATATTTTAATAACTTATCGACGACATATCGTGTTAGAACTTTTTCAAATAATCGCGTGTTGAGGTGTCACTCGTGTTCGTGCTTCTTAGCTAGTAGTAGTTAAACCTAACATAATTTTCCTTTATCAAAACATGTACAGTTCTCGAACTTTTATCTCCATAACGATGAAAGCTTAAAATCCCAAATTGCTATATAAATGAAATTACAATCCAAATGGTTCGGACAATTTTCAAACTTATTAGCTGAGAAACGATCTGTTGTAAATTACAGCCACCATTGTTTTGTCACTCCATGCAGAACGAGAAGCCCATTTCCATTCCTGATAAGTACAACAAGAATAATTTGCTGTTCATTCAGATCCCTTGTGAATGAAATCCTATTTTCAAACAATTTATAATGTACATATGTTATTCATAATTTTATCATCACACGAAAATTCTGCCATTTTCGTCGTAAAGAATATTGCCATCTAGAGATATTATGCAATACTGTAATTATATGTTAATTCTAAAAAAAAAAAAAAAAAAAAAAAAAAAAAAAAAAAAAAAAAAAAAAAAAAAAAAAAAAAAAAAAAAAAAAAAAAAAAAAAAAAAAAAAAAAAAAAAAAAAAAAAAAAATTAGGGGCTCTTTTTGAGTTAAAAGCCATCCCAACATTTCTCATTTTGCTTTCATCTAGATTTCAAGCCAAGCCGACAAATCTCAGCCACTGGCGGAGCCTCCCAACTGGCGGTCCGATTTCTCAACTTCTCAAAATCATTGACACACTGCTCGATTTTCATGGACCAAACTTCCTCCCTCGCCGCGGCTAGCTTTTTCCCGGCCACCCTATCAAATATTTTCTCCCACCCATTTTCCCATTTATCATGGGCATCACAAAGCTGTACTGTGTTGTTGGTCCATTCAGTCCAGCTCCATCCTTTGTCAAGCCTACTCATTATAGGCCCAACACACGACCCAGTACACACCGGCGTGCAGGGCCTGCATTTAGCTCCACTTAACGGGCCTGGGCTAGACAACGCTGCCACTGGGACACCAAAACGGGCCGGGGGAAAATCATATCGACGATCTGTTACTATACAAAACGGAAGTGGTTTGGTTACATAAGGAACCTTTCGAGTGGTGAGTTGGGCCTTGAATGCAGTTTCCGAGTTAAGCTGGTTGTACCCGGCTGAGTCGAGTTCCGGAACCATTGAAAGTCTTGAAAGTGCAACGATGGAGCTGTTAACATCGCCGACACCAAAACGATCATTTAGGCCACCATAAGAGGAGCCTGGTGGAACTAAGTAATGACCCGGGATGAAGTTATCGGGTGCCAACGGCTTGGACCAATACCCATCAACTCGGGTTCGGATAATCCAGTCATACGTGAAGTTGTTCTTTTCTTGGTATGATTGGATCATTGTTAGGCATCCTTCTACCAGATTGAAATATTGCAACAGGCCCTACAAGGAGAGAAAAGACATTGATCAGACGAAATGACAAATGTGAAAGATAACCCGTCACAGTTAAAGGACAAGATCGATGAAATTTAGTAGTTCTCGAATCCAATCCAACGTACTAAACATGCTAGAAAAATATGGTGAATATGTAGATGCACATAATATCATTTATATGATGAAGTCATCAAGACTCAGATGTTCTTTAACGTTGCGTACCAAAAGAACGGTTTTCCAATCCTCCTATAGAAGTTTAACATGGTCCTAGACTCCATTGTAGACATTTAGGTCTGGCCCAATGAAACTCGATTTTTCTATTAGGATTGACATAAATTCAACTGATTAAGAACACATTACCCGCCCAACCAGATATAACCTCAGATCAGAAAACCAAACAAAAAATGAATTCCCAGAGTTACAAACCAAATTCCAACTCTCAGTAACAATTAAGAAACAACGAATGGAAATTTAACCACAAGAAGACACCAATGGCGGCTCCAGAAAATTCAAACAATTCATAAACGTCAAATTTGATCAAATACAGACTACAAAGTTTACACAATCGAGTCAAACATTCAATAATACAACAGTAAATTTTACGCACATCTGAGCCTTGGAGCTGGTAAATTCATCACAAGTTCGATAAATTTTATATAAATTCAAAATGCATGGCCTTATCTTAATCATCGTTATAGTATTCTTGATAAAATTTACAATTTACAGAGCGGCCGGCTAGAAAAAGAACACTTGGAAGATTGATATTTCACACTAGTAGCCAAAACTACCCAATCCCATCAAATTGGATTTTGCCATTTGCCAAAACAATCAACACATAGAATATTCTCACAACCAATAATAACTAAATTTTCAAAAATATTTAAAAATTAAACAAGAAATCACAACAAAAAATTATACGTTATGAGCTATTTTTAATTAAAAATTTTCAAATTGCATCAATTTTATGGCTCAATTACATGATTAATGAAAGAATAATGTTGTGTGGTCCTACTGGGTTATAACCCAATTTTAGGGTGACATTAAATGATATGTAAAATTAAATAATCATTCAACCTATCATCAGTGCCATTTAGACTGGTGTTCTAATCACAGCAGGACTTGATAGCATTACTCTGAATGTAAGGGTTAATATCAATACACTTTTAGTTTGTTTATTTTGCAATAATAAACACAAGGGACAAAAAATGAAAAAGAAAAATGGATCTAGTAAATGTACCTGTATGCCATTTGGCGAGTTCTGAGAAGAGAGGACTCGGAGCTGTGACTCAGTCTCCGGAATCAGTTGCGGCTGAAAGATTTTCACGCCGGCGATTCTGGGCGCCTTCTTCAGAAGCGTAAACTTGTAAGTATTCGAATCCAACGGGCTGTGAAGAAAGAGATCGGAATTATTATATACTTTGAGAATCCTCTTTATTATGGAGGGTCCAGTAAGCTCGAATCGCCGAGCCCCGCCCACTAAACAAACCGCAATTCTCGGCCCTTTCTTGGGCTCGGGCTGGGTCTCGTTCTGTGCATCATGGTCATGGCTGATGCCGGGGGAGTAGCTGTTGAATATGGATTTGAAAGGTGCATAATTGGAAAACGAGACTATTACACTGGTGGTGGTGGTGTTGATCGACGAGAGAAAAACGTAGAGAAAAAGTGAAATGGGTAAAAGGATTAAAAGCAGTAGCCTCCGGTCAAGATCCGAGATCCATCTGGAGAATTGCACCAGAATTTCTTTTGGGTGTTTTATGAAATTCATCATGCTTGTAACAAATTCAATAATATCTTGAATTTTGTAGCTCTGGTTCTTCTTCCCATGAAGCGCACACAGGAGTAATAATCAGTACTCAGAGAGGGAAAGTATAAAGGATATACATACGCATGTACATACAATATATAAATACAGAGGGAGACTACGGACTTTTCAAAGATTTTGATTCTGGAAGGTTTCTTGATTTTTCTCTTTGCTTTCGGTTGGCTCGTTGGAGGTTTGGATGGATTTTTAGGTTAAATTGATGAATTCTTGTATATTGAAAGGGGAACTGATAAATTTATTGATAAGTAAATGAGCAAATTATATAATTATTTTTTATGTTTATATTCAAGTCACTTTTTATGCATAGGTTGTAAATCATTTATTTTATTTTTTTATAATTTAAATATTTTATAGACCATTTCGAATAATGCTATTCATAGTCAAAGATTATAATAATTTTCTTATGAGTCAACCTCTCATTTAATACATTAACTTGTTATTTGAAATAAAGGAATTATAGAAATTTAATGCATTAAATAACAGACTATTATACAGAATGATTACTTGCAGTTACTGACTAAGAATAATATTACTATTTCCCAAAATATACATATAGTCAATTATGTTACGAAACAAGATGTAAGGACGTTTGGGTATATTCAGACTGAATAACAATTTTTTCCATAATTTTTTATTGAATAATATTATTTATCATTAATAATGATATTCATTGATCTAGGGATAGTGAGCTATCATGCTTTTTACTGCACTGAATTATATAGACTGATTTTGTTTTTCAAATAGATTACAAAAATCCTATTTAATGCTATTGAAAATGTAATTTTTGTCAAAAACCTTTTTAGTCTACCTTATTTATATTTGTTTAATTTCAATATTAAGTGAGGAAATTTGATTATAATGAGACAAATTAAATAATAGTAAATTAACAAACGAAAAAAATAAAATATTCTCAATAAAGAAACAGAACTATATAATTACGATTGGAAAATAAAAAAAAGTCAACTTATAAATGAGAAAGTGGAATAGTATTTAATATATATCTATAATCGGCTGTTAAATAATATTATTCTCATGAATAGTAGTATTATTCTTTTTCTACTATTGAAGGCAGTAAATTGGCGAGGAAAGAATATTGGACAAATACGTAATTATGTTGCTAATTATAGATTAATTGGGGAAATCAAGAAGAATGTCGGTAATAGGGAGGGATTTAAAATAAAAGCGTGTGGCAGTTGGCTTAAGATAAATAATTAAACATAATCAATTAGGTAAGACACTTTAATTATTTAAAATCATCGTTGAAATACTGTTTGACATTTCATAATTTAATTATTTTTGCAGTCGTTTGTCTTGTATATTTTATATGCCACCTACTCTAGGTGGAAAAATTTATGGCTGAACATTGAACTATTCAAATTATAAATTTACAATAAATAGATAAATGATTTTTAAGTAATTAATAATTTTTATATATATTAAAAGTGGAGGCCTGCTGTTGACTCAATTAATTATTAATACATAATTTTAAATTAACATTTCTAACTTTTTTTCTAGCTACTCCTTATGCTTAGAAATATGTGACATTTTAATGTAAAGTGATATGTCAATAATTAATTGATAGACAGTAAATTGGACAATAAAAATTGTACAATAGATCTCCTTTTATATATTAAAGGGTAAATTTTGTAGGAATACACCCCCATTTTAGTTTTATTTACTTACTTCAGCATTTTATTATTTTCACATTGATCGTGCTATTTGTACAATTAATTTGACAATATATGAGTTGACAGGCATCAGTTTCATTGATTTGAAAAATTGTTTTTGAAATCAATGACAAAGATCTTTACACCTTACACATTATCAAATTTATTTTACAAATTCGTTTTACAAATAGATTAATTCTTTCTCATTTGTGTCCCACATTTCTCATCGCTTTCTTATTATCTACTTTCTATTATTTAGCACATATTATCTTTGATGATTTTAGTACAAAAAAAATTATTTGTTTATATATATTTTTCTTTCTCATTTGTGTCCCTCATTTTTTCATCGCTTTCTTATTATCTACTTTATATTATTTAGCATATATTGTCTTTGATGATTTTAGTACAAAAAAATATTATTTGTTTTTATAATAAAGGATAAATATTTAGTCGCACTTTATATGTGTGTGTGTGTGTGTGTGTGTGTTCCTTATTTAGAAATACGAAGGCAAATAAGTCTTATCACATTTTTTAACATAATTTTTTGACAAAACTGTCATTCGAAGAGATAGATATACCAATCAATGAAAGATTGATGATAATAATACCATGAAGAAAAGTCGGGGGCATAAGAATAACAGTAAGTAACGATTATGGACCTTTAATAAGATCTAATTTTGAAGTCAATAAAGTGAGAGCCATTTTTTGGTAGATTGTAACTCTGTTGTACTTAAACTTGTCAATAATACCATTAGAACATGTTTGGTAGAAATTTTAATCTAATTAATATCAATTTTTTGACCGTTGTTTCACTATTTCAGTCGTTATTTATGAATTCTTTGTTGGAAAAAATTCCAATTTTGGGGTCACACATGTACATTTATTAGAATGTGTGGTGCTATTTTAAAGTAAATATAGTCGATAAAGTGATCCATTGGATTTAATTTTGGACTAATGGGTATTAAATTTTATGGGATTAAAGTGTAGAAACCAGAAGGTGTTATTTTGAATTGATGAGGGGCCGATTTGAAATAACTTAAAGTTAATAACTGCCATAGCAGTTATTTTAAAAGTGGTTATGGTCCCCAATTTGAACGTGATTTTTTTTTTGGTATCTCTGCATCCCCATCAACAGAGACTTTTCAAGAAAACAAAAGAAGGAAAATCACGTATCAATTGGAAGATCAAAACCCAATTAAAGCAGTAAGATTCATAGATCAAGGTATGTTTCCGCACTTTTTGTTGTCTCTTTGATTTCAACATGGAATTTATGATTTTATGAAATGATTTTATGAATATGGTTCCTTTCAAATTTATGCAACAAGTGGTATCAGAGCCATCCATTGTTGAAATCTTTGAGAAATTGCAATAATTTAGTATTTTTTGGTTATTGTTATGGATCTTCCATGATGTTATGTGAAATTTAAATTTCTGCAATTTTTTTTTTTTTTTTTTATGAGATTTTCAAATTTAACTATTTGGAAGCAGTATTGTTGAATTTGAGAATTGTTTAGCATATTATTTATGGTTATAGATCTAGATCCAGTAAAAGGTTTTGGAATCTAAAGTTTTGAATTTTTTTTTTCTGGTTTTGGTTTAATAAAAAAAAAAATTTTAACTGGAACTGGCCGGCGACGGTGTCGCGCTGCTGCAAAACGCAGCTGCGTGCAAGCAACAGCGTCCGGGCTGCTGCCGGTTGCAGCAGCGGCCGACGCCGTAAAAGAGAGAAAGAGAGAGATGCAGCCGGTGGATTTTTGGGGGCGGGGGCCTGAGGTGCAATTTTTGTAATCTCAGGTCCTTGCTTGCAATTTCTAATTAGGGTTTTAAAATTAAAATTTTAAATTCAGTCCCTAAACTTTGTTATCCATCCAAGTTGGACCTTAAGGTTATGGGTTTAATAATTCAGCCCCTAGATTTTGGAAAATTATTTAATCTGGGCCATTAAACTTTTGAATTTTGCAATTAAAGTCCCCAAAGTTCATAATTAATTGAAATTAGCCCTTAAAGTTTTAAAAATTTTCAAATTTTGATCCCTAAAGTTTTGAATTATTAACCCTTAGGTTCCTAAACTTTCTAAAGGCATCTAATAATGCAAAATTAGTGATTCTCTCTCTATAATTTTGGTACTAAAGACTCCCTTAAGAGGAATAATTAAGATTTAATTATGTGGAACAATAAAATTCAAATATTTTGGTAATTTATTCATAATAAATTAAGGTTATCTCGCATTTTAAATAAACTAATTGAAACAATATGTCGCCAAATTGACCTCTTTTGTGTAGATTGGTTTATTTGTATGTTTAGATGTGTGTGTGTTTCTTCATGCGGGTATTAGCCGGCCCAAAGGAAGGTTAATACTTGGCCGAATTACATACATACTTGTGGTGGTGAATGTGTGACAATTATAAGGTTTCCATGTAAATAATAAATCAATCCAAAGATAGGTTTATTATTTGACAGGAGTTATTGTCAATGTTCGATCACTACACCGAGAGTACCACTTGCAATTAGTATTATTGTCCAAAGACTTGATATTAATGTTGCACTAGGTATCTTGAGATGGGGCTTACCATTATTTGAATTTATTGTTCATTAAATATGGATATGAGCATAATTAATTGTTTCTTTCTGTTCTCTCTACAGCTAGTTCATCTGCTACTACAATATCTGCTAATGTCAATTCAATTCCCATACTTAATGGAACAAACTTCAAGGATTGGAAAGAGAACATATTGATTGTTCTTGGCTGCATGGATCTTGACCTTGCACTTCGGGTTGAGAAACCCACTCCTCTTACGGAAGAAAGTTCTCTTGATGAAAAGAGGAACTTTGAGAGCTGGGCTCGCTCAAATCGCATGAGTCTAATGATCATTAAGCGCGGCATTCCGGAAGCCTTTAGAGGTGCAGTATCCGAAGGGATAACTAATGCCAAGGAGTTCCTTGTCAAAATTGAGAAGCGTTTTGTGAAAAACGATAAGGCTGAAACAAGCACGTTTTTGCAAAGCTTGATTTCAATGAAGTACAAGGGCAAGGGAAACTTAAGGGAGTACATCATGGAGATGTCTCATATTACTTCAAAACTTAAAGGTCTAAAGCTCAAGCTATCTGATGACTTGCTCGTTCATTTGGTATTGATCTCGCTTCCTGCACAGTTCATTTAGTATTGATCTCGCTTCCTGCACAGTTCAGTCAATTTAAGGTCAGTTATAATTGTCAGAAGGAGAAATGGTCTTTAAATGAGCTCATTTCATATTGTGTGCAAGAGAATAAAGGTTGAAGCAAGAAAGAACTGAAAGTGCTCACTTGGCAAGCACTTCTAAGGATAAGGGCAAGAAAAAGAAGAAGGAATATGAAGCTGCTCCTAAGGGTCCAGCACAAAAGAAACGAAAGGAAGACAAAGATACTTGTTTCTTTTGCCATCAGTCTGGACATATGAAGAAGGACTGTGCCAAATATCACGCATGGCATACAAAGAAAGGTACACTTCTTACTTTGGTCTGTTCTGAGGATAATTTAGTTTCAGTACCTAGAAACACTTGGTGGATA